TGCAAAATGAGTCTTCGACGTTGCGGACGTGGTGGAAAGACAAGCACGCCTACCGGGCGTCAAAACCTCAGTGACTCTACGACGGATGAGGAATCCACAGAATTCGACAACAAAATCAAATCACGCAATATGGCTACATATCAAAATCATCCACGTGGCGGAAAATGGCAAACCGAAAAGACTTCACGAGAACCAACGGTAAATGTGGAAAGCTTGAGTCCAGGTGAACGAAAGTTATATGAAGAATGGATGGAAATGATAAGGATGACCAACGAAGAAATTGAAACAACAGCGAAAGTGCTCCAGGATTGCTCGCAACTCAAAACTCAACTTATGGAAACTCAAGATGCAGGCCAAAATTTAGAACAGAAAAGCGAAATAACAACCGATACAGAAAATACAGCTAAAAATAATGCAGAGCCTCCTCCAAAAAAGCGGAAAAAGAAAAAGAAAAATAACGTTGAAAAACCTGAAGAAAATTCCTTCATGACTACAAATAGCAGCCCTCCATTACTACTAGATGTCGCCACTTCCTTGTAACTTTCGGAAACCAATGTAGATCCTGACTTAGCCCAACCCAAGGAGGATTACCATGCAACTGCAGCTCCACCCACAACTCCGGAAATAGATCTACCAATCATGCACATTAAAGCTCTAGTCCGTGGACTTCCCGTAGGCACCAATGCAGAACATATCTCCCTTGAATTGGCCAAGACAGGCATTATAACACAAAAAGTCATACAGTTTAAGAGAAAAGTGGGCGAGGCCTATCGGCTCATCCCACTTTTTCTCACAATATTAATCAAAACAGACCAAAATCAGCAAATCTACTCAGTTACCAATATTTGTGACCTTCCTGTGAAAATTGAAAGATTCCGTGGCGGGAATAGCCCAATCCAATGTTACAACTGCCAGAATTTCGGCCACACACAGCGAACGTGCAAATCTCAACCAATATGTCTTAAATGTGCCGCCGACCACCGTTTCTTTCAGTGCCATAAAGACAAAACTACACCACCCAAATGCAGCAACTGTGGTGAGGCACACACCGCCAACTTCACGGGATGCAGCATCCGTCCCCCCAGGAAGGGCTCTCGAGCAACTCCAACTATAACTCCACCAACAACGGCAGGTCAAGCGCATAGACTTGTCTCAATCATCAAGGAATTAAAAGAACTATTAAAAAACAGAGAAGTCCTACAACTACTTCAAGCAATCATGCGTGATTCCACTCCAGATTAAAGCCACTTTGACTAAACCTGAACTCTTTTTTGAACTTTTGATAATATCTCTAGTACTATGCATATTTATATTCTTGAATGTTTATCACACTAGATGGCGCCACTATGGCTTAGAAAAATTTATGTAGAATCTTCATAATTTATAATTTTCATAATTATTATTTATAATCTTCATAATTTTCCCGATCATGTGTATATATATGATCATCAATTTTTTATGCTCAATTTCAAATTTCAACTGCAATTTATGTAATATCACAGATAAAGCTTGTATCTCATGTATATCGACCTAATCATGACTGTATTCACTTCTTTTTTAAAGGCAATTTGTGTAAATCATCGATCAAGTTGTACAAATTTCTAATCATGGTTATTTTTATGTTACCACACTGTTACATAAATCAAAATGTTATATTCACTCTAATAATATTTTTAAGATGGATGGGTTAGGAGCCGCTGCGTGGCCTAGGCACCCAGTTGTTTAAATAAAGCAAGCAATATGTTAACTGCTCCGGACACGACTAAATATTTTTAAAAATTTTAGGAATATTTGCTTAATACTTGCACTCAAACTTGCGGATTTTTAGGTTAATTTGTCCAACATTTTAAAAAAGTTCAACACGGGTTACCTGTAACAAAATGCCGCATGATATAAGCCTCTTAGTTATTTAGAAGTAGTGGTGAGTAATAACCTAATAAATCGAATTTACTGAACCAAGAATCATGCATTAAAAAAATACCACTCGAAAATATTTATCTGCTGTCCGGAGCAAGTTGACTTCTGCACAATTGTATTGCAAATATCTCGCGGTGATAGTGGGAGTAATTATTCTTATTCTAAAAGTTTTACTATTAATTTCGCTGCCAATTTAATAAAACTTTTGCAGAAACCGGAGCATTTGGCATTCCTGGTAATGATTTCAACTAAATAGACACATAGAAACCAAATCATAAAAAAAGTAAAAAACAAATTGGTTCCTTAGAAAGTCGCCAAAAAGCAGATTTAATCCTTTCAAGGGCCATTTATTTCCAGTAAAGGTAAAATAAAGTATTTTTGGAATTGAAATTGTTTTAAAAATAGTTATTGATATAAGAAAAAAAAATTATTTAATTTATAAAAATGTAATTTTTTTGGTGGTAAATATATTTAACGCTACCTATTGACTTTTATTTTTCTTTATTTATA